AGAGAGAGAGAGAGAGAGAGGGACTACCGTTGGTATTGGAATCGACAGCGAAAGTGCACGTCTTCCGTACGTGCACGGAATACGATGCACTTGTGCTAGATACCAGGCACGAGCTTGCTTCCCGAGGGGAACGCTGAAAAACCGGAGAAAAGGATCGTGTGCTTTGCCAGGTTCACTCCTGCCGCTTTTGTCGCTTAACCTATTGACGTAAACGTTTCTTTTAACGACGGTCTGGTGGGGCACTGTGTGCGTGTCGGACGGTAGGAGGCAGAGAGACAGACAGCTAGGCGGCTCGTCTTTCTGCTCCTGTCCACAGAAGTCGATTTCGTATTGCGGAAGATACCGGTTGGTGAAAACAGTTAATATAAGAAACTTGGAAGGTGAACGCGTTCATGGTCTTATAGGATTCACAGGCTTGCTTTAGTGTCAGGAAGCGGCTGTCTCACTTTGCCCATTGCCAAACGTCATTCGCGGTGGCAATAGAATCAGACAGGTTTTCTCTTCCCTTCTTCTCTTTGCCAGAGTGAATTCGTCACGCTTGATTTTTGATGAAATCGTTCGTAGCGTTTTATATACGTAAATAAAATTTTTATACGTAAATTGAATAAATATGGACATTGTCGTTAATTACTAAAGGGAAGACGAATCGAAAAATAGGAGAACGTACTGAAAGAAACAGAGAAAGGGGATCAATTTCAAAGTTCTTTGAGAGAAACGCGATTACCTCACGTATTATTTATCCTTAATATTTCTAACGAGTTAATACAATAGTTGTTAAACTATCAATATATAATGTCGAATGATTGTCTCGATCCTTCCTTTTGCTCTCAAAAGATCTTTCAAATTCCCAGGAATACTTCCAAGTACGTTAAAAACCATTGCAATACTATACGAAGAGAATGTAATAACGCTTTAAACCACGAATATTACACAGGTTGAAACATCCAGGGATAGTTCAAGTGTTCCTAAGAAAATCATAATACTGTACGAAAACAAGTTTTTCGAAAACTTTTCGCCAACAAGAGCAGAGCCTCCGAAGTTTTTGCCTCACAACTGTCTTTCATTCGGGTTTTGTTTACCAAGGAGTAAACCTCGACGCCGTCAAATCGGCGGTGGCAGCTACCTGCTATTCAAGGGGCATTACGAACCGTAGGACGCGCAGTCAGCTGCGAATCATCGTGCGCGACACACACGCGAAGCGTTTTCTCCGGTTTTCGGCGCGCGACTTTTATTTTTGGCTCGTGTTCGCGTTTGCGTAACCGGGAAGACAAGTTTCGTCGCCTTTTTGTGCGCATGAAAGCAAACAGGCGCGTCCGTTCACGCACAAAAAACGTCTCGAGACTCGTCCTTCATCTTTCGATTGCATCGATCGGCGAATATATAACAAACCTGAACGAAGAGACGCGGGAGTTTTTATCCTGAGATTTGCCCGCTTTCTTTTCCCGTTTTTATATCGGCGAACGCGCAAAAAGCAAAGGAAAACGAACGAAGTCGACGAAACTTGAAGCCGGCAGTGTATCGATGTGCAGTGATCAGGAAATTGGTGCGCGCCGGAGCCACGCCGGAAGTAAGGTCCTCTGATTCGACGAGAGCAGAGGGAAGATCCAGACACAGGGTTCGATCACCCTCGTGATCCGTACGCTAGCAATCTCGAGCTTTTTCTCGTTGTTGATCGGTGAACAGTTCTCTCTTCGTCCTTTCTCGTCGCCGTGACGACACCTCGAGGATCTCGACAGCCGCGACGATGGAAACATGAGGACACTGGAGGATCGTGCAATCGATCGACGCAGCTCCGAACCTGTCGACCATAAATGACGTAAGTCCCGAATGAATTTCCCACTTTTGAATCCTTCATTGTGCCATTACGCTTCAATATTACGATTGTTCGTCGACCACAGAAGAATCTTTAGAATGAAACATTTTGAAATTTCGTTAACATCCGAGGCGATTATTATGGTTATAATATCTGAAATTAACAGGAAAATGTACATAAAAATTACAGAACGTTTATTGCAAATATGTAGAATAAGTGTTATAATTGTCTATAGTAAGTGGTATACTGTTAATATGTTAAAGTGTTCTAGTCTTGGAA